CGCACCTTCCGGGCATCTTTTGCACTGGTCCAGCTTCCTGGGCAAAGGCGTTGGTGGCCATCGTAGTGTGTGGCGACTTGCTCTGTATCTTGACACATGATGTGACAGATGGTCCATCTCGTGGCAGCTTGCCGTTGCCAGCACGAGGAAGGCTGCACTTCCACCATGTACAATTGACGAGTGGTTTATGTTCTGGCTGTGGATGTGCAACTTCCAGCTTCCAACCAGACAGAGCAAAGCCGTGAGTGACGATCGCGTGGCTCGTCTTGCTGAGCGGCTTGACCCACACTGTGACAGTTCGTCCATCTCTTGGAAGCTTTCCGTTCCAACCATGGGCCATGCTGAGCGGCTTGACCCATACTGTGACAGTTCGTCCATCTCTTGGAAGCTTTCCGTTCCAATCACAAGGTCTGAAACCACCATGCGCGAAGAGCGAGCTGTCAAGCAGGTCACCACAAAGTGTCCAAGCTGTGGTCCTGCTCGAAGTTCCAATCAAACACTAAAGGAATTGCGAGTGAAACCCCCATCTTACATGTTGATAACATCGTCGGGTTAATCTAATACAGCTGGTACAAATACTCAGTACTTGCTGCTAGTGTAAAGCAGATTCGAGAACTGATATAACATACGTCCACGGTTGCAAGTTACGTGCTTCAACTTCGCAATGCCAATAGAGCCGTATGCCGAGCAAAACTCAGACACTGCCAGTGCTCTGAATGGTCGGCTTCTCTCGTGAGCGGTTTCTCTCGTGAGCCTGGTCTCTCCAAGCAGACTCTCAAGCATGTCTTACCGTTTTTGCAGCCACGAGATTGCCGGGCTCCATAAACAACAAGATCTCGCAGAACAGCTCCTGTCTCCTAGCCGCGAGCCTTCTCAATCTTCAAGGAACTGCGATAGATCACATGTCATCCCATCCACAAGTAACTTCTGAATGAACACATAGCACAAGAAAAGACTCGAACTCCTCGAAACCGAAACTCGCAAAGAACGTCAATGCATCAACCTTCCGAAGAGATATGAAGAGATATAGCAAGCCAAAAGCATCTTCCACGGTCAAGCCAGCTCTCCTTGCATCAGAAGGAGGCTTGTTCCCGGCAGAAACGACGATCGATTTGCATCGCGGATCCGACCGGTGGTAGGCGCCAGAAGTCATTGTGCGGACTTGTCCAGATCCCTGCGGCAGATTTCCGTCGCCAAGGAAGTGCAAGACGGCGACCAGATGTTCAGTTCCCAAGCAAGCGCCAGCGTCTCCGAAAGATGGACTTGTCCGCATCTGACAAGAGAGCATGTTGTCGGAGCTCTTGTTTTCTATTCTTATGCTCTGTCCAAGATGCGGCACTTCAAGACACACCTGGACTTGCCGTAGAATTACTGCTGGAACAGGCACTGCTGTGATGTCTGCCACCAGCTTGGCTTGCAAAGGCGCAGACCGCGAAGGCAAGCCTTTGGTATAGAAATCTCGATCCAAGCCCAACTTCCTCTCCAGTATGCTCCAACACGCCGACGTACATCCTTCTCTCGACTGCGAAAGCATGGATGAAACAGTCTCTGTCCTCGAGTGTTCGAGCCGCGACACACAAAGCAGTCATTCGCAAGACAAGCTGCCGAGTACGTGCCAGCATGCACGGCAGCAAGCCGAAAGGTTGCATGATTATTGCATATCGCACGTCCTAGCTCGCACCTCCTCTCACAACAAGATCTGCGCAGCAACCTCGGCCAGGCAACATAGACGTTCAGGCACTCAGACCAAGACACTTAGACCCTCACATGCGCAGACACTTTAGGGGCAACTTCAGAGCGACTCACATCAAGGGAGGCAGAAGGGAGTCTGGGCTGTTGATCCTACTGCGTGTGTCGGGCTTCAAGAATGTCCCTTATCAGGTTCCTGCTCGTTTGCATGTCTTCGATCTGCTTACGGTTTCAGCTGTGCGACTTCGTGAGCTATTGGGACCGGTGAACCATGACAGAACACATCGCTGATGATATCAGCGAGCTTCACATCTTGAGCACAGCACTGTCATAGCATCACCCACGAATAGAAACAATTGCACAATGGCTCCTTGTGGCAGCAACATGCAGAAAAAAAAGTTGGCTCCGTTGGCATGGAAGGCCCTCATTGTAGATCATCATTGCAAGGCTGGACACGGATGAACCAGTAAAGCAGCGCAGCACCTTGGTAAACTTGAGCCTTCTCAACTGACATGCCGCCAAGAACTTGAAGGCCGGTCCTGGTGCGGATCAGGGCAGTAAACTAAATCCTTCTTGCTCAAGCTGCGCCATGCGCCGGAACGGGGGCCGACCCCACATGCGAACCAGAGTCCAAGAAGCAAGCATGACTTTTAACCGCCGCAGACACCCGCGGCAGCTGCGCTGTCAAGAAGCAGGCAGACAATCGGAGGGTGTAAGTGAGACGTCGGGCAGCAGGGTTCTACAAGAGCTAAGCGGATAGTAGAGCAAGGAGATGTTAAGAGCTGTCGACTGCGGGATTTCCGCTTTGAATGACCGTATATCACTTCTATAGAACAGAAAGCTCATATATTACGCGGCTATGACATTCAACATGTTGGTTGCCCACACCCGATGACCTCTGGCAGATAAGTACGAACATTCAACACGCACACAAGCACAACACTTAAACAATTCTCAACTGCATGTCTCAGACCTGCCCATCCCATGACGAGATGCAGGCGTCCGTGGGCCAAGCAGGAACCAAGGTGAGCTTCGGAGGTAAACAGTCTTGTCATGGGCACAACTACCTGGCATTATTCCCTTTCTACGCAATCAGGCTCACGGCTGCAACGATATGTTTATAGGCCTTCGCATCTGCTTGGCTAGGACGGGAACAACTTTGCTTGCTCGTCATGTACATATAACTTGAACTAAACTGTTGTTGTTCTTGTTGTTGTTGCTGGCGGACAACCACTCTGCAGGGAGAGTAGTTGAAGAGTGCTCATCCAGCACAGGTAGACTGCCAGCTCAACGGATCTCACTGCACCTCAGACCTCCACTCCCAAGGCAGCCATGGCCTTTGCGACTCGGACCGAGGCTGTCGCTGCCGTGAAGACATCGCTTGACAAAACAGCCCTCAGAATGATAACTATGGCGCTGTGAATTAAGATGCAAGATTTTGCAAGGCGCATGCTCCCAAATTTGTTACTGCATGCCTCATCGGGTACCTAAATCTTGCCCCGTAAATATGACGGAAGGACGTGTGAACTGTTGGCTATGTTTCGGAACTTTACCCACAATACGAATAAGTTCACAAGGCTGCTGTACTGAAAACGCGGTTGCAGTAGAAGCCGATTGTCATTTAAAATGCTGTTCTTCCTGTTCGCAACCTTTCCAATGCTGGGAAGACCTCGGGTGCTTGTGAGTTGCTTGCAACGTGTTGGATTCTGGGTGCAGGAACTGTGCACAAGCAGGACGGTTCACTGGATGAACTCAGAGTTCAGCTCTCGGACACTTCTGAGGTCCAGGCGCTAGGCAAGAAGAAGGCTACTCTTTGCATGACCTGGGCCAAGACGATGCAGCAATACCGACAGACAAGCATCATCTGCAACGGATTTTGGTCTACTCTTCAGAATAGATGCATGTTAGCCAGAGAAATCAACAAACCAATTTCAACGTATCCCACATATGCAAAGCTTCATCGGAAACCCATTTCCCAGAGTGCTGGCGACGGAAGCGGCATGGCTTCACAACAAGTTCCGAAGCAGCAGCTACTAGAAGCCTGAATACCGGACGGACAACATGCACCAGCTAATCCTCCTGCAGCGAACATCCCAAAAACAGCAGCAACAACCACGACAACAGCAAAAGCAAGGCCCACACGCCGTCTTTTCGTGCATCGTAGGGAGTATCCTGTGGCCGTTCGTGTCTCTCTGGTTCGGTCTTGCAGCCTAAAGCCGAATCTTGGTTCTTCAAGTTTGGGAACAAAAGCCAAGACAGAGTTTGGAATCTATGCGCAAATAGAATCCGAGGACCTTGGTACTGTCCACAGGCTGAAGA